GACAGATAAAGTTAGGTTACGTTACTAATTGCAAATGGCGTCCAACCGTAAGAAACTATTCCCTTGAGCGGATTCCCTCCCAATTAGGCGTCAGAATCGGGACTACTTTTATATCACGGAGTTCGATCTCCTTACTCTTACTTCGTGCTACAAAGCTAGTCCATACGCCATTCTACGTCTTTTTTGATGATAGGTTTAAAACCGTGGATAGGGTTCCTGACGCCTAGCCACGGAGTTGTATACTGGTTTAAATTAACAGATAATAATAAAGAAAGTGGTGTAAAACACCGAAAATTGTCCAAAAATATTCGCAGCGTAACTACGCACATTCAACCGGTACGGCTGATGCAACCCTGGCTTTATAGTTCAGTGAGTGGAACCATAGACGTATAATATATAGACGTATAACATATGCGCGTTTGACTGAAAAGATGTCTTCAACGTTGAGAGAGACAACATACTTTGAATAGTAACTCTTTCTCTGTCTATCAATGTCTGTGGTGGGATCAGGGCCTACTGTTTCATACCACCTAACCTACCATCACCCCTTAATCTCTTTCACTCTTCTTCGCCCCAATATTTTTCTATCCCCACTTTTCCACTACTATTCTATCAATCAGCGAAGACTTCTTTTTTCCCCACTACTTCGCTAGACAAAGATGGGGCTACTATTCAACACCAGCTGTCTCTCTCAACGTTGAAGACATTTTCTTAACATGGCAAAGGTAGGGAACGCGCAGTCTATATATTATACGTCTATGAGTGGAACCGAATTGAGGGTTTCGGTCAGGGCCACCAAACTGCGTGTACCAGCGTTAGTGGCGCCTTCTATAATAACGTACCTGGCATATGAACTAAATACGAATGTGTAAGTGAATACGTGTGAACACGTGTTGCCGTTAGTTATACGCGACCATACGCGACTACATTGTGCAGTTGTTAAATCACTTTTGTTACATTTTAATAAACATTAAAGATGGGTAGAACATTTTGCGTTTCTACTTGTAAATCTGGGAGTAATGTACCAACCCATTCATTCCCAAAAAAATCGTGAACGTCGCAAGTTGTGGTTAGACAATTCACATATATAGCAAGTAGATGAACGTGAAATTCAACAGTTGCAAGTGTGCTACAAACATTTTTGTGATAACGATTATAGTTGTTCCCCATCAAGACGTGTTTTAAAAAACACTGCAATTCCGATACATATATTGTTATATTTTGTGACTTAATAAATTCACACAACACTAGTAATTAAAATGTTGTTAAGTTTATTTATTAGAACACCAGAAATTATATTAACAAATAAAAATTATCAAGAGCACAAAGAACACACGTCTGAACATGATGGCGGCAAAGAAACAAGACAAGATACATCGAAACGAGATTCATTTCTTTTCCTTTCTGGCATGCGCAGTAACATGCTCATGCTTGTCCTGAATGATGCATGCTTCTCTTTCTCTCTCTCTCTCTCTCTCTCTCTCTCTTTCTTTCTCTCACTTTCTCTCTTTCTCACTCTCACTCTCTTTCTATGTATATACAGGGTGTCTGGTAATGACCGTATAACCGCTCGTAGGCAGGTAGAAGGGATTATTCTGAGTCGAAAAGTCCTGAACCATTTTTTTCTATTACATATGATAAAGGAGTAATTATTGAATAAAGTAAGCCAATCAGCGCCGACCTTTAGCCGAACGCACGTCAGTAAGCGCTCTGCGCGGCTCAGATACTTGCGCAGATCTGATACTTGCGTTTAATGTAAAACGGCCTTTGAGTTCCACTTTTGTGGAAATACGGCTAAAACCAGCGGCTGAAACCGTCGTAAAAAATTACAATAGGATGGCCGCTCTCAGATTTCTCTCTGCCCATAGCATTTATATGGCAGTTTGGTGGCCCTGGTTTCGGTGGAAACTAGACCACAATTACACAAACACATACATACGTAGTATAGTATTATTCATGAGACATTCTGTTGAACGACGTAAAATACTGTAATAAATCGCAATTTTATGACAGAAACTCAATAAAAAGAAGAGGAAAACATGAGTCGTCCAAAAGTGGATGTGCTGTGGTCTCCTTTTCATTCGGATAGATTTATCACATGGGATAGTGATGCTGTACTGAATCTTTATGAAATAGTAGCACGAGATAGTAGTGTTCGAGACAGTGATCAGATTTGTTAGTGTAAACAAATAATCTATATTTATATTTGTTATGTGCACATATTTTATACATGTGTTTTTGTTTCTAAAATAGATTTACAACTGTCAGAAAACTCCATTGCAGAACCTGTTGCATCTGTTACTATTAACAACTATGCAAAGTGTATAGATATTTATCCCCAATCAGAGTCAGATATTGTAGCCAGTGGTCATGCAAATGGAAAAATAGTTTTAAGTACTCTAGGTCCTCCAGAATTTGATTATCAGGGTCTTGTTGGAAAAGAATTTTGTAAATATCATATATATATATATATATATATATATATATATATGCACATCTTACACACACACATATAATATACTTAAGGATTTTATGCAATTGTTTTGATAAAATTTTTTAGTTCCAAAATATATGAGATCATGTAATGTTGTTGCTTGGAATCCTGCTGATACCCACTTGATTGTATCTGGCTTGGATAAACACAGTAAGGAACATTCTCTGCTACTCTGGGATGTACTTCATTATCCAAAAGGCTCTGAACGACCAATAGCAGAAGTAGGTTTATCAGAGACAATACATTCTGCATCTTGGTTTAAACATGATCCTAGATGCTTAGTCCTTGGAGCTAACAACAAGCAATTAAAAATTATTGACTTTAGAGGTGTGAAAGATGAAATAACATTAAATGATGTTGTATATAATTCTGTCTTATTACAAGTTTTTTCTCTAAATATTGTATTAGATTCTGTAAAAGTGGTAAATATGACTCCCACAAAGGCGGTATATAATCTTTCAATAAATCCTCATAATAATTATCAATTACTTTCACATGTTGACAATTTAATAACATTATGGGATACTCGATGTTTTGAGAAACCAATTGTAACTGTAGTACCGCAAAGACAGATCACAAAAGTGCTCTGGTGCCCAACCAGACGTAATCTTATTGGTGCACTGCAGAAAGATTCAGGTACATATGTTTTTAAATTACCCACATATATGTGTCTATATATTTATTATAGCATAATCTTTTACAATTGACATTTATTATTATAAAGTGCAAGGGAGTTTTCTTCAAAAAGTTTCTACACTTATTATTTCTAAGAAAAGGAAAAGAACGGGAAAGATGAGATTAGAGAATATTATGGAATGTTATGTGCTAGTCATCTGGTTACCTTTACAAGGTACATCATTTGACTTTGTAGTTAGTATGAAATTATCTAAAAAGTAATAAACAAAACTTGAGAATTGCACTAAGGAAAAGTAACAACTTGATGATTTTTGTAGATAAATCAGAAGATGTATTAGATGCACAGATCATCAGTTTATGTATGTTCAGTATGATAGTGTTTTTTCTTGTAGAGTTGTATGAGTGGATTGAAATATTTAAAAATGGCTACAAATATGATTAATAGATAGTATTTAGTCCACTCTCTTTATACCATATGCTAATGAATCTGTGCACCTGATAATCTGCTTACAAAAGTTGTATTATAAATTGTTGCTCAAAATTGTGAACATTTTGCAGTCATGTTTATCACTTTGTAGTTACACTAAGGTGAACCAGCTTGTTTTGGCAACTAGTTACATGATATCCTGTAATATCTTCTATTCTCAACCCTTCTGCTCTCTTTCTTTTTTCTTAGGAATCATAATAAAGCAGGAATTTTTTGAAGATTTCTCCCATAGAAGCTAGTATAATGGAAAAAACTATATTTAAGTATCTTTTTCTGTAGTTGGTTTGCACTTATTTGACATTCAGTATTGCGGAGGAGAGGATACCGAACCAGGTGTTCTGGAGAGAGTGGTCTTACCATCTTGGCATAGCCCATTAAGTTTTTCATGGCATCCAACTGATCAGAATAGATTGTTAGCGATATCGCTACAAGGTATCCTAGCATCACATATTAATCTTTTAGATGATTTATACTTTCTTATTGTACAGGAATAACGGATTATACCGTATGCGAGAGGATAACACTCAATTATTCCGCTAAATCATGCCTTATGTGGAATTATGCTTTCAAATCGTTTAAATATGTACGCAGTGAAGATAGCGTTTATAAAGAATTTGATGATATTTCAGTTTTAACCAAAAGACGTGCTATGTTTGAATATGGCTTACTTGTAAGTAGATAGAAACAATATTAAACATTATAAAACAATTTTATAATAAATTGTATACAAATACTTTTTACTAATTAAAATTATCTATGTATTGTGTTTTTTTTTTTTTATTAAAACGTATATGTGTTCTATATATTTGCAGGCAGATTTAGCTCAAAATGGCGATATAGCTGAAAATGAAGCACTAAAAAGTTTATGGCAATGGTTATATTTGAGTCGATCTTTAGTAGAAGAAGGTACTATACACAGTCCTGACAATAAGCATCCTGGTATAAGGTAAAATAAATGTGCGTATGTAATATTATATATATACACAAATAATTAATACTAAATATTTTACTAATCTTTTTTCATATAGAACAGTCGTGAAGTTGGACACTCAACAGAACATGAGTAATGGACTGTTGAAATCAGAAGTGATACATCGTCCTTGGGCAGATATAGGTTCTAGTCATACCATAAAAATCTATAGGTAAAAAGTGTTTAAAACTTATGGATACTCACTACAGTATTCTTGAATTGTGATATTACATGATATTAGAAGCACAAAAATATATATTTTTTAAAGTATATATTTGCTCACAATTTACCTCAAAATGAGTTTTTTCATACACGTTCACTTATAATCGAGAAGAAATTCGTGAACTATATTAAATACATCAGATATGTTGTAGGGAAAACAATTCTTTGGTTCCAGTCAGCACCTATCAAAACAGCAAAGTAATCAGTTAAACCGAAGCAACACAGAGTGCTACATTTGCTACGCTATTCTTTATAACTACGTTTTTTATAATAAAACAAAAGAATAATATTTATTCTCTCTTAGTGTATATAACGCTATGTGTGGCCTCAGCATTAATCCAAGATGTAGCGAGTATCCAGAAATTTCAAGCATTTAAAAAATAGAAAAAAAAAATGTCATCTTAATCAATATTTATCTCAATTATAGATCACCGGACAGAGAAAAGAGTCTTCTCTTATGTGGTTTGCGATTTGATAAAGAGACGAATACCGCATATGATAATACATATCTGGAAAAACTTGAGAAGGAAGGTGCATATGCGAAAGCTGCGACGTTTGCAGTGTTCAATCTGTGTTTAAGACAAGCTATTGATATTTTAAATCGAGGAGCCAATAAAAAGCAAATGGCTATTCTGAATATGGTAGCTATGGCATTGTCGGGCTTCTCCGAAGAACGTACTACATTGTGGAGAGAATCGTGTCAGAAGTCTAGATCTCAATTGTCAGATCCTTATCTAAGAGCAACATTCGGTTTCTTAACCACAGATAACGATTCGTATGAAAGCATACTCGTAAGTATAAAACACTTAGAATCACTTTATTGAAAACAAGCTAAACATTTGATACATTTAACGTCGTAGAATGAAAACGGTATGGCTGTTAAAGATAGAGTAGCATTCGCCCTTATATTTTTATCGGATAATAAATTATATGAGTATTTGAAAAAATTGACCCAAAAGTTAATTGAACAAGGAGATTTAGCAGGTTTCTTGATTACAGGTATGACTACAATATTTTTTCCGTATATAAAGTATATTTTAATTAGTATCAATATTTTAGGGACATTCCTCTTAAACATATTCCAACTAAACATTTAAAAAACATTTTAAAAAGTTTAATAAAAAGAGTTTAGTAATATCAAAAACTTAATAAAACATTCAACAGAATAAGTAATGCAATTAAACAAGACAAGATTTAACAGGAGCAAAGAAAAACAAAGTAAACACAAGACAAAACATTTTTTGTTACAAAAATTATTCAAAATGATTTCTTCCTGCTTTTTGCATTTTCTTGAAAAGTTTTTAATAATTCTACAATTAGAGTTTCTAAACCTATGTTATATGAACTGTGTTTTCTAGTATTTGGCCAATAAAAACACTTCTCCCTACAATATTTGATCCTAATTAAAATAAACCCTTCATTAATAAAAAAAAACATACGCACACGCATATACAAATATCTTATATATAAAAAACTGCAGTTTAACATATTATACATCTTAGGTGCAAGTATGGAAAGTATACAGTTATTGAGTAAATATTTAGAGATTACTTCGGATGTACAGAGCTGCACTCTTATTGCAATTAGAGCTTTCACACCCAAATTGCTTCAAGAAAATCAAGTTCAAGTGTGGATTAGCAAGTATTGATATCAATCTTGCAAATCTTTAGTTGTAAATAAACGATTTTTGAAATGTTATATACTATACCATTATAAAATATTTTTTTACAGTTACAGACATCTTTTGAACGCATGGAAACTATGGTTCGAAAGAGCTAGATTTGATATTGTTATGAGGTCTTCAACACCACATGAAAAACCACCACAACAGATATATGTTTCTTGCAATTTTTGTGGTAAAAGTATATCAGCCTTTATGCAAGGACTGAGCAGGACAAGAGTTCCATTCAATAGATTAGGCAGTACTCCAAACAAACTGAAGGTAATGATCTATTCTTAATGATTTAAAAGTTTTATTATATAGAGTGTATGAAAAGTACCAGTAATTGCGAAAAATCTGGAAGACCAGGCATTTTACGAAAAGTTGATTCAGATAAAACTGGGTAAATGATCTATTTAAGATCTTATCAGTTTGATCTTGAATGATATCGTCAAGATCAGGACAAGGTCACCTTATATTTTATAAATGAAACACCTTATTTTTTATTGCATATTCGTATAGCTTAATTCAAGAGCGTTCCAAAACACTATAATAAAGTTTATTTTCATGAAGCACTTTTTGACTTATAAGAGTTGAATATTAGAATATCGTCAGTATTAGTATTATCTATTGACGTTATCATTCATTTTGAATGTTGCTTTATCTAAAAAATCTATGTTGAATAGAAAGAAGGTCAGATTCTTTGTCAGCATCATGAGCTCACAAAATTTGTTTCGATCGAAATCATCTTCGTACAAAAAGTACCGGTAGTATTCTACTATTCAATCTTCATAACTCAAAAAGTACTTAATGAAAATAAACTTTGTTATAGTGTTTTAGAAAGCTCTTGAATTAAACTAGAAGAATCTACAATACAAATAGAAAGTTCCATTTAAAAAAGTTGATGTGACCTTGACCTGACCTTGGCGGCGCTATCTAAGATTACATTGAAAGAATCAGTAAATAGATCCTTTTAAACCTTACAACTTTAATCTGAAACACTTTTTCGCAAAATGCCTAGGTATCGAGATTTTTCGCGGTACCGATAATTTTTATACACTCTATATATATGTATACAGTATACATACAACAAAACTTAAATAATTTTAAATATATATATATATATATATAGAATGTTCGCTAATAACCGTATCACTGCTCATAGACAGATAGAGAAGTTATACTAAATCGAAAAGTCCTTTACTACTTTACGACATTTGGAATAATTACCAACTTATTACTTAAAATCCATGAATGAATCTATCTAAAAAACAACTCAATGTTTCACGCACTTATGATTGCTATGTGCGTAGCAACTTAGTGGAAAGAGTTAATATAAATAGCATATAATATATAATATACATATATAATATACACATATTACAAACCAATAACAATGATGAAACGCGAAAGCATCGCGCGTATTTTTTTTTTATTAAACAATAAATAATTCTACTGTGTAGGAGAGATGTGTAGGATTTTAATTAATTATTAATAATGTTTTATTTAATTATATATATATACAGGGTGTCCCAGAATTGGTTTAACATCGCTCGTAGGCAGGTAAAAGGAATAAAACTGAGGTGAAAAGTTCTATACCATTTTGCTAGATTCGCAATAGTTACTGAGATTTTAATTAACAAAGATCCGCGAATAAGCATGCATCGGGCTGTCTTACGCGCGTAAGACTGCCCGCCGCGCTTCGCGCGCTAACAGTGTTACCCATAGCGACATATGGGAGGAGCTAATATAACAGCATATACTATAACATATACATATTAAAATGTAATTGTGTGAAGCGCGCCGGGCTGTCCTACGCGCGTAAGACAGCCCGATGCACGCTTATTCGCGGATCTTTGTTAATTAAAATCTCGGTAACTATTGCGAATCTAGCAAAATGGTATAGAATTTTTCACTTCAGTTTTATTCCTTCTACCTGACTACGAGAGATGTTAAACCAATTCTGGGACACCCTGTATATAGGAAAAAATTTTATCACATTACAATATTTAAATATTCTTTACCATGTAAAAATTAGAGAAAAAGATTAAAAAATTAGAAAATCAGTGTATTAATATTTACAACAAAACGTAACTTATAATTTGTAAACATATCTTATAATTATTTTCTTTTATAGGATTTTTCCTTTAAATAATAAATAAATAAAATCATAAACATTTTGACATAAGAATTATTTATTTTGATTAAAAAACTGCGAGGGCCATGCTTTTGCGAGTAATTATCGATAGTTATTAATTTTTTGTACTATATATATATATATATTATATGCTGTTTATATTAACTTCTTTATTGAGTTGCCGCGTGTAATAATCAACGTGGGAAACGCTGTGCTGTTTTTTGTACGTGAATGCACGTTTAGGCGTTGTCTACAATACAATCGTAAGCCGTAAGCCGTAAGAATTTGACCAATCACAATCGATTATTCTTCCGTGATTTGTCTATGATTGGTCAATTTCTTACGGCTTACAACTGTAGACGACGCCTTAAGAGCCGTCTACAATGGAGAGTTGTAGGCCGTAATAGTAAGAAATTGACCAATCACAGACAAAGTACAGAAGAATAATCGATTGTGATTTGTCAATTTCTTACTGTTACGGTCTAAAACTCTATTGTAGACGGCTCTTAAGGGCCTTCTACAATAAGATATTAGTAAAGAGCCGTCTACAATGGAGAGTTGTAGGCCGTAACAGTAAGAAATTGACAAATCACAATCGATTATTCTTCTGTACTTTGCCTGTGATTGGTAAATTTCTTACTATTACGGCCTACAACTCTCCATTGTAGACGGCTCTTAATAAATTAGAAGTCAGAAGCAAGAAATTGATCAATCACAATCGATTATTCTTCTGTGATTTGACTGTGATTGGTCAATTTCTTGCTTCTGACTTCTGATTTATTACTAATATCTTATTGTAGAAGGCCCTTTATTTGCGAATCTTTATGAAGTAATAACTCGTTACTTCTTCTAAATCTTGCAAAATAATAAAGAACTTCTTGACTCAGTATAATCTTTCTAGTGCGAATCAATTTTCGTTCACTCGAATTTTTTTATCTCATAGAACTCAGTGTAAAGTTGCATCTTACATAATTTTAGTTTTTTTAGCTTTCATCTGGTAATAAGCTAAAAAGCCCCTTGCACAATGGAAGGAATAGCGATAGCGATAGAAATAACACTGGTTTTATAGGGTTTATATTTATAAATAACGGTAGGAACAGCTGAATCTAAATACTTAAAAATACATGTGTATCAGTGCAGAAAACGGAATAGGCAATAACGATAAAATTTTCGACGAATTCCGTGTCTATCGCCTATCGCTATCTTCTCGCGTTGTGCAAGGGGCTTAAGAAGCTTTCTTTGTTATAATAGATGACAGCCTGTCCTAATTGTCGCAAACCTTTACCACGTTGTGCAATATGCTTGATGCATATAGGCACTGTTAGTGGACTACAAACAGCTCCTAGTCCCGGAAATACTAGGAACGAAGAATGTGATATCCAGCTCACAGAATTCAATAGTTGGTTTACTTGGTGTTTGACGTGTAAACACGGTGGTCACAGCGATCACATAACTCAATGGTTTCGGTAAAATTTTATTAAATAAAAACATTTATAGCAGAGTTCCGTTTTCCTCACTTTCACAATTCTCACATGATTCTTTTTCATAGTCAGTAATTCGTTCTTCTCACATTCTTCTTTCGTGCTGCTATCTCAATACTAACACTCGCAGACTAATCACATGTGTAAAATAAATATAACTTAACATATGTATTGCATGTGTTAGGCATGTCTCTTGTTACAATAAAAGAAACAATTAAGCGCAAAAACACAAATTAATGGTCCTGATGATGTGAGAAGAGCAAAACTTTGCAGTATATATAACAAATTATATTATTGATTTTACTATTGGTCAATGTTTCAGGCAACACACAGAATGTCCAGTAACATCATGCAGCTGTCGCTGTTCCTCTTTGGATGCAGCTGTGACATAAGTATGTATCTATTATAAATAGAGAATATTCTGCATCTGCATATAATTGCATATATAATGCATTTTTTAGAATTTTAGGATTTTATATAAATTTTGTATTTTTTATTATATAACTGATGTTATTATTCTATTTGATTTTTTTTATATAGACTTGAGAAAATATATAGATTTCAATATCTTTCTTTAATTACATCTCTTGTTATTTTGTTGGAAATAATACATACAAATGAACTTACAAAATGTAAAGATGTATAAAGAAATATAATAAAGGTTGCTTAAATTATAAATAATTTTTAATCTTTCTTTTTATTAGTTTCCATGGAATGCTCCCTCCAACTGATTATTCACTGCACAACATGTATGCATCACAGTATTGTAGCCAATTATGTCTATAAAATAAAAACTTCTTAATAAAAGTACTTCAATGTAAAGTGAGTGGAAAAGCTAGTAAAGAATAAGAGCATTTACTTACCAAAATCTTTTGTTATATTGGAAGGAAAACATATAAAGTTGCTACAAGACATTGTAGACTTTGACTTTACAATACCACGTATTTCTATATAGCATGACAAATTGTTGAAATCAAATGGTTCTTTAAACGTCACATTAATTCGGGCATCATCAGTTGTTGTTATCTCTGCACTCATATCATCTGAACTTTTCTATGATATATATCAATAGTGAGTCACATATTTATATATATAAATTCAAAATCTATTATCATCTAGTAATATATTACATTTAATAGAATATTTATAATTATACATTACATATATTATAATTTACTTTGTTAAAATACATCAGTGTGAAGTAATACAAAATCTATAGTAATACAATCTATAGTAATCTAATTAATAGTACTCTATAGTAATATAAAAAAGTGCACAAATATAACAAAAATTGTTTGAAAAGCATGGTGCTATCTGTGCTATTGCATCAGTCTATCTTTATTTTATATCTAAGGTAGTTGTGAAAATCTTTAAAAAAGATTTTCATGTGTTGAAAAAAAACCAGAGTTAAATTTTTTACATTTGAGGGATAAAGATAGAATGATACAATAGTGCACTCTCTGAACGTAGTCAAAGTATTCACGTTTTTGTGATTAGATTTTTAGGTTAGGTTAGGTTAGGTTAGGTTAGGTTACTTTATCTCATTTTATTCTAAATAAGCTAAAAATATCATCTCACTCCGGTAATTTTGCCGAGCACTATCGCTTCTTGGCCAATGCGTTGTCCTAAACGTTTACCCAAGATGCGTTTGTCTAACATTATCGTAAATACAATATTTCGTAGGTAGATAAATGCAGTATGGACAAAGCGTCAATAAATCGCGGAGTTGGCGCGGGGATCGGAGAGCAAGCGGGGCAGTTGCTCGTAGCGCCAACGGGCGCCGTACGAACTAACTAGTAGTCCACAACTACGTCGTGTCGATAATGTAACTACTCTTCCTTTCTATTTTCTTCTCAAAACGTAAAACTAGAGAGAAGCCTGAGCAGTGCTGCCAGAAATGGCCCACACTCGCGCATGCGCAGAGTTTGAAGCGCCAGTAAAGTATCTGTCCGTTTGTGAAACTGGCGTCCTTAGTCGTCCCCAAAAAAATAGAATTATAATTATGTCCTTGTGACGTGATACTTTTCGTGTCCGTCACAAGGACATAATTTCGGTCGGCACAGGAGGCGGTGAGCTCACGTCTTCCATTTTTTAAGGGAGAGCAGCTCGTTAAGCCGCATAGCGCAGGCAAATGCGCTTAATTTTGCGAAGGCGCGGGGCGCCTATGTTATATTGAGCAAATATTTGGCGTACTAAAATGCATATTACTTTATTATTGATATTATTTTCAGATATTATTTTATATTGTGTAACTATGTCTTTATTTTGTGCATTCTTGCCGTGCGAGCCATTTGGCGGTTATTCAGTCGTGTATTTCAGCGCAGAAAGAGAGAGAGAGAGAGAGAGAGAGAGAGAGAGAGAGAGAGAGAGAGAGAGAGAGAG